TTCATTGATGGACTCAGGCATCTTTTTTTTTTTTTCCTTTTTTTGCAGAATCAGATCCAGGGCCTCTCACACATGCCAGACAAGTGCTCCACCACTGAGCTATACCCTCTACTATCATTTTAAACACTTGAGATATATTAACTAATTTAATTCTCACTACAAAGATAGATGCTGGATTTTTATTGATCCCACACTTATAGAAGAGGAAACAGAGACACAAGTAACATGCACAACTAACATTCTGTTTTAAAGCAGAATAGTTGCAACCCAGGCAGTCTAGTTCCAGAGGCCTTGCTCATAATCTCGACACCCTGCTGCCTCTCAGAGACACAACCCCACCCCGCCCCCCAGCATATTATGGGAGCTAAGCTGTCCAGTCAAGATGTCAGTGTTGTGAATTTCCTAGAAGGGGAGATCCCTTGGGCTGTAGTCCCCAAGGAGTTTTCCTGGAGGAGTAGGACTGTGTAAGGTTTAACTCCCAGTAGGTGAGGATGATGTAACTAACTCCCTCTGGACACAGGGTATTTAATAAAACTGGCTCTGGTGCTAGGGATGAGGTCAGGCCAAGGCTCCTGGAGGAGAAATTTCTTGCCCTTGCTTGCACATTACAATGCTCTCTGGGCAGAGTTCTGGACTGAGGTTTTTTGTTTTTTGTTTTTCTTTCAAATGCATTAGAAACCTGAGCAAGAGAAGTTGGCTGTATCATCTGGCTGCATCCTTTTGTCTGGTTAGAGGGTGAGACATTTCCATCCTTTCTCCAGGCATCTTTGGAAAACTTCCCAAGAAGTAAAGAATCTCAGTAAAATTTACCATTGGAGAGGAAAATGGTCTCCAGGAAAGGGGAGCCTGTTCCAAGAACAATGAAACATGCTAGAGGATGGAACTTAAATATTGAGTTTTTCTTCTTCTTTCCAGTTTTCTTTCTATAGATTAGAGGCTCAGGACACTTTGCTCTATTTGTACGTCCACGAGGAATTTCTGAAATCAACACGCATGGATTCTAAGGAATCCAAGAGGCTGGAAAATAGTAGCAAGCCTTGGCAAGGCTGCTGAGGACCATCCCTGTTATCTCAGGCCCAAGGGTATGTGGAGCCTCAGTAGCCACACATTACATCCAGCTTTTCTTTGTCTTGATTAAATTCAAAGATTCTCATTGCAGTTTGAGGGTTTGGATACCTTTGCAATTGAGCTCCTGGGAAATCTTTATGGTTAGGTCTGGGCTGAGTCTGTCAGTAGTCAATTTTTGTGAAGTTGAGGGTAGATGGTCTGGAGGATGAACAGGCATGGATAGTCTAGTTCCAGCACAGGAGTGCTGTCTAGAGCACTTTTGTTAGCAGACACAGCCAAGCTTGACATATGATGTGGAGTGTGTGTGTGTGTGTGTATGTCTATGTTTAGACAGACATCCTGGAGCACATACACATTTCCTTTCATGTTCAAATAAACTTTATAGATTACAAGCATATTGACATACTTTCTTCGCAGTAATTGAAAGGAGGCAGGGCAAACACTCTTAAACCCAATTGACAAATGGGGCAACTGAGGCCCTATTAAGTGACCTTCCCGAGGCCACACAAAGAATGAGTGGCAGAGCTTCCAAGCCTGTGTGCTCTCCTTCATGACAGGCATGGCTTCTCTTTGGCATGGGTGGGCCCTGTGCACAGCACATTTCCCCTTCATTGATGTATCTTGAAAATTTAAGCCACTCAGCTATCACTCAGGTGGGTGAGGGGGAAACATGTTTGTATTAGTCAAGGTGGTAAATGATTAGGTTCCCTCAGCTCCTTTCCTAGTTTGCAGACAGCTGCCTTCATTGTCCTCCCATGGTGGGAAGAGGACAAAGGGAGTTTGCTGTTCTTACTAAATCCATCATGAAAGCCCTACCTTTATGACCTCATCTAGCCCTAGTTATCTACCCAAGACCCATCTCCAAATCCATGACACTGGGGTTTAGGGCTTCAACATATGGGGACACAACCATTCAGTCTACAGTATAAGTGGAGACCAGTCTTTCTCACTACTGATAGCAGCTATTGAGACAGCAGAATGATCTTGTTGTCACTCAATGCCTGCACCCTTCATTGTCCTTTTGGAAGGAGGACAAAACTGGGAGAGTAGAAGAGTATTAAGTAATGTTGTCGGTGAGGTGGTGCATGCATGCAATCCCAGTTATTAGGGAGGCTGAAGCAGGAGGATAGCCTCAGAAACTTCGTAAGACCCTGTCTTAAGAAATTAAAAAAAGAGGTTGGGGTTGTAGCTCAGCAATACAGCATTTGCCTAGCATATGTGAGGCACTGGGTTCAATTCTCAGCACCACATAAAAATAAATATAAAGATAAAGATCCACTGACAACTAAAAAAAATATTTAAAATAAAATAAAATAAAGAGCTGGGGATATAGCTCAGTGGTAGAGCATCCCTGGGTTCAATCCTCAGTATAGGGGGGGGGGGGAAGTAGAATTGCTGGATTTAGTAAACAGAAATATAAAATGCCAAGTTAATTTTGAATTTCAGATAAACAATAAATAATTTTTCAAATAAGTATATAAACAATGAACAAATGTTAGCATAAGTATATTCCAAACTAATCATGGGACATACTTATACTAAAAATTATTTTTCTGAAATTCAAATTAACTGGGCATCCTGTATTTCTATCTGATTACCCTAAAAAGGAAGGAACAAAAACTCCCCAGATAAGTCCGTGGATTCTAGGGGAGACTATTACAGGCCCTGAACTGAAGTTCTCTTTATATGTTTAATTTAAAAAACAAAACAAAACTTTCTTCCTTCCTTCCATTTCACCCCTTCCTCCCTCCTTTCTTCTTTTATCCAGCTTTAAAATATATGTACCATAAAACTTAACGCTCTAAACTATTTTATTTTCTTTTTCTTCTTCTTTTTTGTTTTTCAGAGCTGTAGATGGCACGCAGGGCCTCAGGCAAGCTAAATAAGCGCTTTATCATTGAGTTATATTCTCAGTCCCTTATCATTTTTAAGTGTACAGTTTAGTGGCACTGAGCACATTCGCACTGTTGTGCAATCATCATCAACATCCATCTCCGAAACTTTTTCATCATCCCAAACTGAAACTGCAGCCTTTAATCACTAACTGCCTATCCCGTCTTCCTCATCCCTGGTCATCACTATTCTCTGTCTCTATGAATTTGACTGGTGCAGGTACCTCATATAAGTCAAATCAGATAATATGTGTCCTTTTGTGTCTGGCTTCTATATTTAATTTTAAAACGGGTTTGGGCACTAAGGAAAATCAGGGTGTGCTACAAGACTGATTAAAGCTGGCATGTTGGTTGGGCCCGGCGCTCTGAACTCTGCCGCGCGGACGTTGGGAAGCTCCAAGCCGAGGCGGTGGATTCCGTGCTGGGGCCGCGCCACCTCCAGCCTGGGAGTGCGGCGGGAAGGCGGAGCTGGTGCGTGCGAGCGACGGCGCTAGGACCCCGCGGCGCGCGCCGAACGGAAGAGGAGCGCGGCGGGCGGTGGCGTCGGCGGCGCGCAGGTGAGGGGCGCGGGCTGTGGGCTCGCGGGCTGGCGCCGGCGGCGAAGCGGAGGAGGAGACGTGAAGGCTTGGAGGAGGGCTGCGGGAGGGCCGGGCCACCGGCACCGGAGGAGCTCGTGGCCCTGCGTGGGGCGAGGGCGAGCCAGCGGCGGCGGGACCGCAGGCCCCGCGCTGGGCTCCTGCCGCCCTCGGGGCGCTTCGGGACCCCCGGGACGCGCGCCGCGCCCCCTGGCCCAGCCCGGTCGCTTCCTGCCCTCGCCGGAGGCCGAGGCCCGCAGTGGACCGGGACCGGGCCGGGTGGGGCTCCGTGGGTCCCAGGCTCCGCTGCCTCCCGGCCGCCCGGCCCCGGGGTGATGGGGACGACCCGCTCGGAACCATGACACAGTTCCTGGCGCTGGGCCGGCCCTTTAGTTGGCCCCGGTCCTACTCGGACCGCGCCTGTTTCCTGATCGCCTTGTGCAGAGCTGTTTAACTGCGGGATAGATCCTGGGAGAGGATGGTTTGCAGGAGGGGTTCCGTGCACTTCCGAAATTATAAACCGCAGTATCAAAGAGGCGTCGAGTGTGGGTTCATGTTTTGGGGAGAGATCTCGGTCTTTCCCAGACTAAGGTAGTGCGGTCCAATGGAAATATTAGGCGATACGCGACAAATGTATACATTTCTGATTTGTCAACTTAAAACATCTGGAGAATATCTTGGTGAACATGGCAAATAGATGCAAGAAAAACACCATTTTTAAAGAATGTTTATGGGTTTGTGGAATGTATTAAACAATAAAAAATGAGTAAGTAGGAAATATCAAAGGCCTAGCATGAATTGCAGTCATCCATTAAGGAACCGAGGAGGAGTTAGGATTTCTAACAATAAAACTCCCCAATACAAGAAAATACTTGTGGTGAATTTTTCACCTTTTATTTTTCAACTAAGTCCCCCATGACTTCTTAGCTATTTATTGTATTTTGCCATGTTTTCCATCTTTTTAAAATGATCACCACAGACTTTTCAAAACATAATTGCCAACGAACCTCTTTGTGCCTGAGTTTTCTCATATGTGTAAGTCCATAGTAACATAACTCCAAAGTGTGTTGTGAAGTTATACGGTTGAAATGATTCAAAGTGACTAGGAAGTGTTTGTCACAGTGTGGCTCAGCCTCCCTAATGTCAAAAACATACTAGTTTAGGTTTACATAGGACAAACTATCAAAATAAGGTGTCTTAATTTTTTTATGTGTTTTGGTACTGGGAATTGAACCCAGGGGCCCTTTACCACTGAGCTACATCCTGTCCTTTTTTTCCCCCCATCCTGTCCTTTTTATTTTTTTATTTTTTATTTTGAGACAGGGTCTTGCCAAGTTGCTCAGGGGTCTTGCTTACTTTGCTGAGGCTGACCTTGAATTGGGGATCCTCCTGCCTCAGCCTCTCTAGTTGCTGGGATTACAGGTGTGTGCCATTATGCTGGGAAAGATAAGGTGTTTTAATTAGCACCAACACAGTCTTGGAACTCTAAAATTTGTGTTTTTATATAAAACAATAAAATGTACTGATAAGTACCAAAAGTTCTGCATTCTGACAACATAGGTTCAGGTCTGGGCTTCATCATAAGCTAGCATTTTGATGCTGGAAAAAATGTTATTTGGTTTGTCCAACCCCATTTCCTTATCTAAAATTGGTGATAATGATATATTCACCAATACTAATAATTAAATAATTCTTTGATAGGATGTTCTCAAGTATATAGGTATTATTAGTTAAAAGTAATAATTATTCATAGCGTTATTAGTTAATAATAAAAATATTGCATATGAAAATTCTGTCTACTGAAAGAGTCAATAAAGATTATCTTCATGATAATCATTTAATAGCTACAGGATATAGGAGGAAGAGACAATAAAATGAAAATATTATGATTAATTTTAGTGCTTAGGCCAGAATTCATCCAAGGGTGTCTCTTTCTTGAAAAGAGGAACAGAGACTCATTTCTTTAGTTATACAGGACACAGAGGAAGGAAGGAAGATGCTAGCCACATGTGATATATATTTTTTTTAATTTTCAAAAAAATTGTTATTGGTGCATTCTAATTATACATAACAATTATCCATTTATGCATAAATTAGTCTGTTTCATTCCCCCTTACCTGCCTCCCCTTCCCTTCTTCTATCCCCAATCCTATTTCTCTAGTAGTCTCACTTGTATTTTCATGAAGTCCCTTCTCTTTCCTTATTCCTCTCTAGTTCCACATATGAGAGAAAACATAACCCTGAGTCTGGCTTATCTCACTTAGCATTATGTTCCCCAGTTCCATCCATTTTCCTATGAATGCCATAATTTTGCTCTTCTTTATTGGCTGAGTCATACTCCATTGTTTCTGTGTACCACATTTTCTTTATCAGTTCATCTGTTGATGGATACCTAAGTTGGATCCATAACTTGACTGTTGTGAATTGTGCTGCTGTAAACATGTGTATGCATGTATTTTTGCTGTAGTATGCTGACCAAGGAATGGTAAAGTTGGGACTTATGGTGGTTCCATTCCCAGCCTTTTGAGGAACCTCCATACTGATTACCATAGTGGGCTGTGGTAATTTACAGTCCTACTGATAGTGTATAAAATGTTCCTTTTCTCTTGTATCCTTGTCAGCATTTATTTTTTGTATTCTTAATGAGTGTCATTCTCACTGCAGTGAGATGAAATCTCAGTGTAGTTTTGATTTGCATTTTCTTGATTGCTAAAGATGTTGAACATTTTTTCATATATTTGTTGGCCATTTGTATTTCTTTTTTTTTTGAGCAGTATCAGTTCAGTTCATTTGTCCATTTATTGGGTTTGGGGGTTTTATTTTGTTTTTCTGGAGTTAAGTTTTTTTTTCAGTTCTTTATATAGTCTGGTTGCTAATTCTCTGTCTGAAGAATAGCAGCAAAGATTTTCCCCCATGCTGTAGGCTCTTTCTTCATGCTTTTCTTTTCCTTTGCCGTGCAGAAGCTTTTTAAATTAATGCTATCCCATTTATGAACTCCTGATTTTATTTCCTGAGCCCTATTGAGGAAGTCATTGCCTATGCCTGTATGTTGAAGTGTTGACCTTTTTTCTTTCTTTTTTTAAAAAAATATCTATTTTTAAGTTGTAATTGGACACAACACCTTTATTTTGTTTATTTATTTTTATGTGGTGCTGAGGATCAAACCCAGGGCCCTGCACATATTAGGCGAGCTCTCTACTGCTGAGCCACAACTCCAACACCACCTCCCCACAATTTTCTTTCAACAGTTGCAAAGTAGAAACCCTAGGTCTAATTTCTAAGTCTTTGATCCACTTGTGTTTGACTTTTGTATAGGTGAGAATTAGGGATCAAGTTTCTTTCATTGTTGTACATATGGATATTCATTTTTTTAAAGTAAAAAGAAATGGGTGATGTTAGTAATATATTTTATTTAACCCAGTTTGTCTAACATGGTCATTTCAGCATATAATCAATATAAAAATTAATGAGAGATTTTACATTCTTTTTCCTACTAAGTCTTTTAATTTCAGTGTGCATTTTATACTTACAATACATCTCAATTTGAACTATCTGCATTTCATGTGTTCAATGGCTGGTGCCCACCATATTGAACAGCACCCGTTTAACTTCTAGCTATGGTATTCACTGTTATTCACAAACTGGCCTCTTTTTATCATTTCTTCCCTGTAACTTCCCCCAAAATGTTATATTCTCACCATGCAAAACCACTTATATTCCTCTAGATGCCATTGGTTAAGCTGTTTCTTTTACCTAGAATGTTTTTGAACCCTTTCTCTGGGCCTTGGTAGAGAGGTACAGATTTTGTCAACAGGCTTTTCTGGACTCCTCTAACTCTTAGCTCTGTATTTATAGGTGAATTAGAGTGCTTATTGTAGGGGGTTTAGTTGTTTTTGAGGCTATCTCTCTGTCTAGTGCCTTTTTCATCTTTGTTGTGATCATGGCCTGCACTTAATAGCTGATCAGTAGATGTTTGCAGACAGAATGAGTAAACCGCTAACCAGCTGTATTCACTCTCTTAATTCTCCAACGGATGTGATACTTCCTTAGGAGATTTGTGCCTGTATTACCCTCTCGCACATGTGCGTGGGCAATCACACACACATCCAGATGTGGTAACTAACGAGGAATTCATCTCAAGACGTGCGCAAAAAGGATCTTCTTTCCCCCTCTTGATTTTATGGATGGGAGAACTGAGGAATAGAAAGTAAGTTAGGAAGGCCAGCTGATTTGCATCAGTATCAATATAAAGAAGGGGAGGGGAGGAGAGTTCTTGAAAGAGGTATGGTGGTTTCAGAGGATTGAGTCCCTTAGGTGGTTGGGGATCAGCTGGCTCCACTTGGTTGCTTGATAAAAGGGAAGGGAAGTGGGGAGTGAGGAGTAACTCTTGGGTCCTGATGAGTATTCAAGACAGGTTCAGGTCTAGGAAGCTGAGAATTTCTTTTCTGGAAGTGTGAGCGCCAAGGAGGAGCTCATTGCTGGAGAAAAGTTGAAGAGCAAAATGATCATCATCTCAGATCAGGAAAAATACTGGCCTACAGAGGGTAGGAGAGAGCCAGTAAGGCAAAAGGAAGAGCTCTGGAAACCAGCAGGCGGAGCCAAGGAGTCCTATTGGGACAAAGACTTCTTAGAGAGCAGTACCAGTTCTCAGTCTATAGAATGGAGACAGAAAGAATCAGAGATTCAGAGAGGTTAGTCATGGTCAAACAGCATTTTAAGTTCAAATGAAGCCTTCTAGCCCTTCCTGCCATACTTACCCGCCCCACTCACACCTGTTGCAACCAAGGGCCCCAGTATGGTGCCTAAGAGAGCAGGTCTAGGGCGCCGTGCCAGGCCTGATTAATGTCTTCCTCACCATCTTCCAGAGTGGGGCTGTGATTAAGCCTATTTATAGGGGCCTGGTGCCTTAATATTCTGCCTGGCGTGTCTCTTGCCAATCAAATCAGTGCCGTCTGCAGTGTGATTGCTGCTTTAGTGGCACCAGGGAGCGGAGTTAATTAAACCCAATATAAATAGACTCTGCCCTCGCCTTGCAATTCGAAGGCGTGTTTTTCCTTCCTGTTCTCCACCCCCACATGCACCAACTTCCTTCTTGTCCCCTTAACGCTGGCCTGGGTGAGTAAAGCACTCTTATACCTAGGGTCACTGGCTACTCCCTAGAGTTTCTCAGGGGCCAAAGTGGGAAGAACCCAATTGTCCACATTCTTCCTGCTTTCCCAAAGTTGGGTGTCATTTGGCAGTCTATTCCAATGATCCCTGTCCCCCCCTAGCCCCTGCGCCTCCATATCTGCTTCCATGCTTTTTGTTTCTCTGCAGCCAGGGTTTCTTTGTGTTTATCCAAGAATGGGAGGTCAAACTGAGAATAATGTATGTAAAGGGTGCTTTAGGAAGTCATGAAATGTCACACCTTTTCTGAACTGTTGTCCCTACCAGTTACCCAGTCGGTGGTACTGGCTTTTCCCTCCCTCATTCACTCAAAAGGCATCAGCAGAATTTCATCTCTGTGGAGCCTTAGCCTTTCACCAGATGTTCTTCACTCCTCCCTCTCCCTGCTCTTACACAGGTGGAACCTCAACATCACCTTGCCCTGTGGTGGTGGGTATGGGTGAGCATGGGGCTCTGGTCCTGATGGTCTTGTTCCCACCCACAGGCACTATGACTCCTTTGAGGACCCAGCATTCCTTGGCAGGTCAGACGTACTCAGTGCCTCTCATCCAACCTGACCTGCGGCGAGAGGAAGCCATTCAACAGGTGGCAGATGCCCTGCAATACCTACAGAAAGTCTCTGGAGACATCTTTAGCAGGTAGGTACTTCCACTCTCCTCCACCTTGCCCCATGCAGGGCTGCCCCCTGTCTTGAGCAGTCTTTTCTCCAATGTCAAGGATACACACTCTTGGAGCAGACCGCTTAGTGATTCTGGGTCCTAGGTGGGGGACACTGCTAGCTTCCTTGTGTGGAGTGGGCTCAGATCAGGAGCCCAGCTTGAAAGCTTTTCTCCTAAGTGCCTGAGAGCCCAGCACCTACTGTCCCCTGTGGCCCCTGTGTTTCCTATAGATCCCTCAGGTCCCACTGGTAGCTCTGTACATTCTCCCACCCAGGGGGCCCTGTTCACTTATTCCTGCTGCTAGCAAATATATACTCAGCAGTCTAGTATGCAAGGCACTGTGCTCCTCTGTAGAGTCAGCAACGAGCAAACTAGTATCACTGTCCAACTAGAGTATGTACTATGGGGGGAGGGACACTTATATACAGTCATGCCTCCCTTAATGACAGCTGGATGTGTTCTGAGGAATGTGTTGCTAGATGATCTCGTGGTCGTGTGAACACAAATGTTGTGCACTACATAAATCTAAATAGAGTAGGTCAAGAGTCTCCACGTGGCCTGTTCATATCATCAAGACACACAGTAAATATGAGATAGATGAGGCTGCCACTGGTGTAATTGGTACACTGTTTACAGGAAAGTTTTTTTTTTTTTTTTTTTTTTGGTGGTGCTGGGGATTGCACCCAGAGTCTTGTACATGCAAGGCAAGCATTCTGCCAACTGAGCTATATCCCCAGCCCTTATGGTAAATTTTTATAGGTAGAAGAAGTACACTCTGAAATAATAGTGAAAAGGATTGTATGGTACATACATAATCTAGGAACAGTTGTTGATCATCATTATTGAGTATTATGTATTATACACATTTGTGTATGCTGTACTTTGACACGACTTGCTGCATGTTAGGTTTCTTTACACCAGCATCACCTCAGTCAAACATGGGCATAGTGTGTTGTGCTATGGGCACTGTTATGATGGCTATGACATTACTAGGTGACAGGAATTTCTTAACTCCATTATGGGACCACCATTATATCTGTGGTCCTTTGTTGTCTGAAACACCATTATCTACTGTATGACTGTAATCAATTGCACAATCAGTTAATTACAGTTGTAATGTTTTTTATAGTGTTTACATTAGTCAGGCACTGAGTGCACTCATTTAGCCCTTGGTATACTTGAGGTACTGTTATCTCCTTTTATAGGAAACTGAGGCACAGAAAGGCTAAGAGATTTGGCCAAGTGACAAAGCCAGAGTTCAAACTCAGGGGCTGGGTGGCTCCAGAGTCTGTGAGATTATTATTATTTGTGTGAAGGGAAATGAGTTGCTATGCAACTTGTAATGGGTAGCCTGACTTGATCTACAGGGATCAGGATAGGTGTGAGGAAATAACATTTATAGTAAAATCTAGGGGTGGGAGATTAGGTCAGGAAGCAGTATATTCCAGAAAGAGAGAAGGGTATAAGTGGAAGTCCTGAGGTGGGAAGGACCTGAAAGGAGGCTGATATACCTAGAGCAAGAGGGGTTGGTGAGATGGGCAGGGCTTTTGAGATCATTGATGGTTTTGAACTTGTGTTATTACCTTTCCATTACTGTGACAAAATACCTGAGATAATCAACTTAAAGGAAGAAAAGTTTAAGGCTTCAAAGTTTTCAGTCCATGGTCACTTGCCCACATTGCTTTGGGCCTGTGGTGAGGTGGTACATCATGGCAGAAGGTGTGACAGAAGAAAGTTGTTAACCTCATGGTGCCAAAAGGCAAAGAGAGTGAGAGAGACAGGAACGAGTCTGGGACCAAATATTTCCTTAAGGGCACAACACACGGCCCTAATTTGCCCTAGGTCCTAACTTCCACTAGGACTTACCTTTAAAGTTTCCATTACTTTCCAATAACATTGCAGGCTGGGGAACAAGCCTTCAACACATATCCTTTGGGGGGCACTTTCAAACCATAGCAGAGCTGAGAGAGCTGCAGCTTTCTGAATCTGTAGTGCTTATCCGGTACAGACCCTGGCTACACTGATTTTTCATTCATTGTTTATTTAACATGATTGAATGGTGGGCTTGGATGTAGCTCAGTTGTAGAGAACTTGTGTAGCATGTGTGAGTCCCTGGGTTCAATCCCCAGTATCAAAAAATATAAATGATTATAGCAATGGAGTTTGCTCGTTGCAGAGGCTCCAGGTTTTATCCAGAACACAGGTCTGGACTTTGGTTTAAGTCATGTGAGATGAGGCAGGCCTTCTGCCTGGGTGCCCACACTATGCTTCACATGGGAGGATCTTTTCTCTCACTCTGTCTGACTTAAGTTCCTTCATGGTCCAGATCATCCTGTACCCCATCCCTGGTTGTATGCCAGACCTGGAACCCCTGCTCCTTCCCTGTGCAGTATTCTCTGCCTGCAACCATTCAAAGTCAGTCTCTTCCTGGAAGCCCTCCCCAGTAGGGGAGGAAATATTGTCTCCAGCTGGACTTGGTGTAAATCCCAGATTCTCTTGGCTCTTCTGCCCACTGACTCATCTGCCTGCTCCAAGACTGTCCAGAATGTGACTGTAACAGGGGCAGGGTATTGATATGGTTAAGGGGATCACCTCTGGAGCAGAAAGCCTCTGCTCAAATTGGACTTCCTCATTTGCTTGCTCTGTAACCTTGAGCATGTTACTTAACCCCTGCAAGCCTCAGTTTTCTTGTCTATTATTTTAATAATGACATCTTCTTTGTAGGCTTATTGTTGAGATTAAATGAATTAAAGCACATGAAGGGAGAAGCAGCGAATATTAGTTCTTATCTGTTAATATCATTTCTATGATGCCTTTCATCAACCTGCTGACAGTGTTATAGGAAATGTTAGATGCCTTCTTTGTGCTTATTTTTATGCTGAATGTGCCCAAGGGACACATAAGTAACAGGACATAGGCCTTTAAGAACCATCAGCCCCAGATGATGGCCTTTCCATGCCCAGTGCTTGGAAAGGATGCCAGAACCAATTCCTAGATATCGTTGTATCTCCTCACCAGGACTGTGACTGTAGGCTCTACATTCTGGAAGAGGCGTGTTGGGTTTTGGGCATATCTTCCTCCTGTATCCTGATATTTGGCACCTTGTGCACGGCCAGCTGGGCAGGGGAGTGTGGAGTTGGTTGAGCATAGGTGCAGGCCCTCCACGTGGGAGGGTAGGGTGCTTCTCAGAGACCTGGACCTGCGTCTAGGCTCCCTCTCAGCCAGATTCCAGGTCACCTCATCAACCCCTATCACATACTAAAATGTACAGGCCATGGTGTCCTCAAGGAGCTTAGAGTCTAGAATAGGAAAGCAAAGGGTTGGTTGTTTCTTAAGTGCCTGGCATGGACTGTGGGGTTCCAGGGATCTAGAGAAGGGAAACAGAAAATCAGTGGCACATCTATCAATTAGAACTCCACAAACCTGCCTAAACAAAGAGTAACAAATCGGTAGAGCAGGCTTCAGAGTTGAAGAGCTTAAACGGTGACATCAGGACCTGGCTTTGCTTTCATTCCTCTTCAGCTTGCTTCTTTTGGGTTGGCTCCATTCCCAGACAGGTCTTTCTTCAGTGGTGGCAAGGGGATAACTGGTCGGGCCAGAGCTCCTACACTCAGAAAAGAATATTCCCCGCTGTGCCAGCACTTCCTCCAGATGTCACTCTTGCCTGTGTGGCCTGGCATGACTCTTTAGAGTTTCCCAGAATCATTGCTGGGGTGATAACACACTGATTGATTCAGACCTAAGTCACATGTATTGCCTGTGAGGCACAAGGACTGAGCTTTTGGGAGTGAGATTCCCTAAAGAAAATGGGGCTGTTACTTGCATAAGGAGGAAATAGATGTAGAAAGGAAAAGTACAGGGCCACTCCACATGGCCAGGGGAAGCCCCAGTAGATGGCCAGGAAGAGTCATAAGGAGGGTTATGGTTAGAAAGGTGGGTATGCAGGTCATCTGGTGGAGTCTAGAAATCGGAACCACAGGCTTATTAGAAGCTTGAATGTGGCCTGGAACATAGTGTGTCATGGGCTCTAGAGGAGTTCAGCTTTTGTGCTGGGAGTAGCATACACTGCTGCCTGCCCCACACATTCAACTCCTTCAGTGCAGAACAAGGTATAAAAATTCTCTTTTTTGTGTGTTTGTAGGGCTTGCATTCCCTCTGGATCATGCATCTTTGGGAGCTTTGCCCCATGTTTCTGTACATCCTCTGTGTGCTGCGGGAACACTTTCTGGCAGGAATGGGAGTGAGTAGGGCTATGAGTGGAAAGTTGGGATCAGGAAAGTAGGGCCAGTCTGTGGGGGTTCTCACAGCCTGGACAGACTTTGTGCGTGATTCAGGAGTCCCAGGGAGCCCTGCAAGGTCCTTGTGCGGGAAGCGATGGGACAGAAGAGCTTTGGGACGGCTCTTCGGGCATCTGTGGACAAGTGGGTCAGGGTGGATTCCAGGACCACCCTGGAAACTTCTTGAGGTCAGGGCATGACCGGGATGAAGTTGTGGTCCAGCTAAGGTGCAGTGAAAACTGGAGAAGAGACATTTTAAAGGAAGCAGTGACAGATTTGATGACAGGCTGGGAACAGAGAATGCAGGAAAGGAAGGAGTCAGTGTTGATTTTGGGGTGGGGATGGGGAGTGTGGACCCCTGTCCTTATCCACCTGCCCCTATCCTGCAGCAGTCCACAGGCTGGGGAAGTGGAATTGTGAATCCCAGCATAAAACTCACCCCTTAAACATGCTCCCTGCTCGGAAACCTCTTGCCAAGAAGAGATAGTGAGTATAGAAGAGACTCTCACCACTCCACTGTCCCCATCTCAGGCCCAGGCACAGCTTCTGGCCTCAGCAGAACCTGGGTAGGTTGTGCAAGTAGGTGAGTTCATGGCAAATTAGCATTCCAAGCTGGCCTCCTTCCTTCTGCTCTGCCGCAGTGGGGAGCCATGCGGGAATGACAAGCACTTCTCAGGCTCTCAACAGCCATGCCCTGCAGAT